TAGAAATATAGATTAGGGAGGGAGAATCCTAATTTGCATTTGAGTCAGCCAAATCCACTGGGCCCCAGAAAGAATGAATGGCTTCCCTACAATTGTGTAAAATACAGTTAGCTCTGCCTCTCTGTGTAGTTGGCATCTTTTCCCTATCCTATACAATTAAGCTCCTCCCGCTCTATACATTCCTAAAGATAGAAAAGGCAGTCCACCCCCACATGGGGATAACATCCTGAACTAAAGGAACTAAAATGATGCTGCATTATCAGCTAGACCAGAATTCAGTAGAAATGAATGTGAAAATTCCACCCGTCACACACAGCTCCAAATTTCTTAATGGGACTATAAGAACGTACATTACATAATGAAGTTAAAGGAAACATCCTAGTACATTTGCTTTGGAATTTAAAGGTCAAGCATAAAAACATAAAGAGACAATTATGTTAAATTAAATGTATTTGAGTTTTTCTGGATATTACAAGGACAAGAACAAACCACTTTTTAAATTCATGAACACTGTTTTTTTTTTTCTAAGATCTGCTCATCTGTTTTGTAAGAACAGGAGTTAAAGTAGAAAGCACATGCCGGAAGCCTGTTTAGTTTAGCTGTTGTAACTAGAGCCTTTGGCTAGACATAGAGTCAAAGTTACTTACTAACCCTATATTCTGTGGAATGTAAGATTTCCCGTACACAGCTAAGTTTTCATTCTAAAAAACAAAACAAAACACAAAAACAGAGATGAGAGACTATTTTTTAAAAGTCCTAAATAAAATAAAAAAATAAATAAAGTGGTCTTAAGTGTATGTACATGCTTTGATTCCCGGAATGAGAAATGCAATAGTAAAGAACCTTCAAAACACCTGATTACCTTTTAAAAATCTGATTTAATCCTTAAGCTACCTAAAAGGGGGAAACTAAGATACGTTTTTCAATATCAATACTTAAAGATGAAATTCAAGCTACTATGAATTGTTAAAACGGTTTTAAAATTCACTTTTACAAAACAAGTAGCCCGTTGGAAAGGAAACTATGAGTTCTTGTGCCCTTACTTTAAGAAGTACCTGCATATGCTGAAAACTGTGGTACATTTCAGTTGTACTCTGTCCCAGTTCTTTGTGACTCTGTGATAGTCTGCTTGCCCAATTCCTTTCTGCTGGCTCCAAAATTACATTCAATATTGGATCAACAATATTAGTGGAGGCAACAACAATAACCTATATTACTTCCTTTCATTTTATATCCTATGATTTTGCCATTGCTGTTTTCCCTGTTTTGGCTATAACATAATAAGCTAATATATGCCTTTGTCTTGGTTTTGAATGGAATTATATGCCAACATCTAGGCAATACCGTCTCCTAATTTAAAATAACTACAAGGTTGCACATTACACTAGTAAATTTGTAATCAACTTAAAGATAATGTGTTAAAAGTACAATTAAATGTGTCATAACAGAACAAGGCCCTGGTAATTACAAACAGTGCCATGCTTCCTGGCTTTTCAAACAGTAGCACAAGACTGTGAAAAATCGCCACCCAGTGATGGAAATGAAAACTGCAATTTGTTTTTGTGTAAAATGAATACCCTGGAGGATTACTTCAACTTCATTACTGAATGAACTCTTGCCTTCTTATGTGAATACACACTGTTACACAAGGGAAAAGATTTTTTTCTACTAACTCCATCGGCTCCCTTTATTCTTATTCTACATACTCCTCAATCTACAAAGGCCAAAAGCTTTAGAAATCTTAGTGAGGAAAAGGCTTTCTATTAACATGAGATAATTGATTGCATATGACTACTCTACATGTTCCTATTATCAACAAAGTGCCTTGATTTTGCGTGGACATCAAATTTCAACTTAACATTAAACAAGAATATTAGCGTAAAGGAAAGGGTATTCTTGGATGGAAAAAAAAAAAAACAGAGGATGCCATTTTTTGGATTTAACAGTATAATTTACTGTGATCTTTTAAGAAACAGGTTATAAAGGCAAATAAGAATGCAATCTAACCAATTCTGCATAGCCCATATTGGCAGAAAAATTGTTTCTAAGTCATAATACTTTTATCATTTAGAAGCTGGAAGATAAAAAAAAACAAAACAAACAAACAAACAAAAAACTAATCTCCTCCATCCCCATCATAGTCCTATTTCACATGATAATTAAAAAAAAAATCTTTTGTGGATATATACTGAATGGTTTTAATGAACATGTGCCCCAGGTTCATTGATCCCCAGTAGGTGGTACTGTTGGGGAAAGTTATGGACATGTAGGACCTGGAACCTCATAGGAGCGAGTCCTGAGGGATTTGAGTTTCCAGCCCCATCTGACTTCCAGTTCTTTGTCCTAGATTCCTGTGTAGTACTAAAGAGGTGAGATGTGACCCTTCAGCTTCCTGATGTGGCCTCAGGACACCTGCCTTCCCTGCTGTTAAGGAAATCTAGTGCTCTGGAACCATAAGCCCATATAAACTCTTTCTCCCATAATTTGCTCTTGGCTGTGGGCATAAAAGTAACTTGTACATATTCTAAGATACATGAATATGTCACCATGTTAATAAAATTATTAAAAATATTTCATGTATATATTTAATATATCTTTTCAAAGTATTTTCATATGGTATGCTCTAAGACTAAAACAGATATTACATAAAAACACTACAAAAAGGGGTAATGTACCAGAACAACAACAAAAAAAATATTAAGGTTTGTCATTATATTTCTTAAAGATAACACAATATTCCAAGTAACTGGTAGGACTTTTATCAGTAAACTTGGTTAAGTTCATGAATACTGACAATGTTTCACTACGAACATTAATACCATGAGCCTTCAACTTCCATAAAGTTAGTTTCATATAATAATTTGAAAATATCTTAGTTACTTAAAATATTAGCTAGCAAACAGTGTGAGGTAGCCAAAATAAGAGCCAAACTTAATGAAGAGTCATACAATGCTACATTTTCCTTTTTAAAAGCATTTTCATGTTTAAAGGATAAAGTACACAATTTAAGGTTTGTCACTTAAAAAAAGCTTCAAATATCACTAATGGCTTAGATTAAAACTGAGGACATGGTGAAAACACTGAAGCCCTCTCTTCTACCTCTTTGATATGTACAGAACATTATCTACTGTCACCATATTGTTAACAGGCATCACAACTTCATATGCCTCTGTTTTATATCAAGTAAAAAAAAAAAACAATTAAAAATGACAGCGCAGCATTTTAAAACTGCAACAGTACAGAGACTAAAAAGATAGGCTCCGGGATCTGATTACCCAGGCTAATTCCAACTTTGCTTCAAGCAAGGTGAAACCCTGGAAAATAAAGTCCTCTCTCCATGGTGCCAGTACCACCCCACTTACGGGTTATTCCGGGTACTTGATGCACATTAACTCATGCAGTTCCACGCCACCTCCACTGGATAAGTAGTGATAACATGCTCAGGGACACCTCAGGTTGTTAAACAGCTTCCTCAAGCTGGAAACCCTAATATACTGTGAAGCTGAGAGGTCAACCCAAAGGTTCTGGTTGTAGAGTCACAGCATTCATATCTGTACTTAACTCTAAACCTGTGCAGTACTCCTGAGGGGGAAGCAAGATGATGTGACAGAGGAAAAGAGAAATGAGGCAAGAAATGAGAGCACAGAGATGATACTGAGATTGACAGCATAAAACTTGAGGAGAGTTACTAAGCCCACAGAACAGCAAGTATGCAAAGCATGCCCCTCCCACTTATGCCCCCAACCCACCCCCAACACACACACACACACACACACACACACACACACACACACACAATCAGTGAAGCTAGAAGTTCTGCATTTAAAACCAAACAGGGTTAGCCAGACAGAGGTCTCAGCTGATAGTTCCTGAGAGACAAGGAGGCCTCAGCTGAGACCTGTTGGGTCATTCGACCATGTAATATCGACTACACTACATGGTTTATTGTTTTTCTGGGATTATGACAGGAGTGATTCTTCTCCGTAAGTGTCAAACTGCTAGACATATGGAGACAACATCAATCATGCTTAGTCCAAGATGGTCCTGGGAAAACTTGCTCAAAACACAGCATGTCAGCCTTTGAGAAAACATATATCAGAGTGTGGATAGAGCAAACAGAACAGCTGGTACTGAGTTTATTAGAGTAATTAAAGTCTTGGAAATTTCCTCATGAAATGGCAAATCTGGAAGGCTGTGAGACTTCCAAGTCTCAGTCAAAGATACTTCTCACTGCAGTCAGTCTTCCTTGGAATAAGAAAGGCGGCCCACATCAGTGATCTTTACCTGCTGAGGTAGGAGACTTGCAAAGCAGATACCTGCTAGGGCAGTTGTAAGATAACCAACGAAATATCTGCCCAAGGCTACATGATAACAGAGACTGTACAAAAACCAGAGCCACTTCACCCATGGGTGGACCTTGTCTCTGCTATTCCATACTGGCAAACTGATGTGGTAGAAAGTAAAAGATACATAAAAAGCTCTAGAAACTATAAGTGTGCCACTGTCATGCTCTTTAAATGAGTGAATGGTAAGAGAGAACAATGCCGTTTCTAATTGTGTAAAAACAAACAAAAATGAGTAAAGTCTTTAAATATGTCTTAACTTTATAGAGATATTTAAAAAAATAAATACAGAATAGGGGTTGGAAAGCCAGACTTAGCTGGAATAAATTCTTCAGAGAAGAATATATTGCCAAAGCCCAGAACACAATGGTTTCTAGGAGGCCTGAGGTTTTCTTAACTTTTGCTTTTCAGCAAATTCAGGAGGTGAGAGGAAAAGCAAGAACCACCTGCAGCTTTCCAGAAACTATCATGGGGCTGACAAAGCCTTGCTGGCTGTCAGGCACAAACTCCTGACAGAGCGAAAGGGAAGGTCAGAGAAAAATCACACACAACTTACTCTGAAATTAGAAGCCACAGTTCAGAAACATAGCATATAATCACCAACTAATTTTTAAAACAAATCATTTAATTAGGATTGTGTTTCCTAAAAAGACTCACCTAAGAGGACAAAGCCATCCGCTTCTGTCTCTGGTACCGAGGGCTTTTTAGATTCCGCAGGCTTTCTGAAGAAGTGGAACATTGCTGCTGCTGCTGCTGCTGCTGCTGCTGCTGCTGCTGCTGCTGCTGCTGCTGCTGCTGCTGCTGCTATCTGAAACAGACATTCTGTATGAGGCCAACTCAGACGGGACCAAAACTTCTGCCCTTCTCGGTAAAGAGCCTGTCATAAAGGTAGCATAGTAGTAACTCCTAGGAATTCCACTGCCAGACTTAAAAGCATCAAACTTTCTTTAGAGATTAAATGATAAGACGTATAAATCAAGATACATCTGTTTACAGTCTAAAATCTGTGCCCTGGAAGTTTACAATGCGACCTCTTTCAATTTCTGAAGATTTAGAAGAACATGTAGGAAAATACTCCATTAAAAACTAAAATCAACAGATAACACTTGAGTCAGAGAACTTGGCAAACCACACGATAAACATTATTAGTTTGAGGGGAGGAAAAACAAAAAACCAAAAACCAAAAATCCCTTGTCTGGGCTTCTTCTCTGCCATACTTAGCTGAAGCCTCAGACAGCAAACACCACTTAAAAAGAAAAGGAAGGAAGAAGCTTCAGACATCCTTTCCCCTGGTTACCTGCTTCAGGCAACTGTGCAGTACCCATTATAAAATTACTGCCAACCCCAAACTCCCAACTGTACAGATCTTGGTACGGGTGACCTGCCCCGCCCCCACTACCATCTTTGCACATTGCCAATGAGTGAAAATTCTTAGAAAACAATTGGGATAAAAACTGAAAGGTGCTAGCAAGGACACATATGCTGTCTGTAGTCCCTTTGAGCAAAAGAATTAAGATAAGGCAAAGCAGAGTTCTGATGGTAGAAAGCACTCCGAGTTTTAGTTTTCATAAATTCCAGCCCTAACATTTAATAGAGAGAAATGCTTGTGATGCTGAGAAGTGTACTAGGATTTGCACAGGTTACCATAACCAGAGCTATGGATCCAGGAAGGACCGCACAATGAGACCCATTCATCAATTTGTATATTAACTTAAAAACTAAGAACAAAAAGAAAACATAAATTCCATTTCAATATGATTTTAAGGCATAGTAAAAATTCAAGTATTGTGTAAAAACATACTTTTTATAAGGCACCAACTAGTTCAATTTTGGGAAATATTATGTAAATTAAGTGACCATTATGCAAACTGGAGTTTGCCTCACATGGCAGTTTTAGAACTAAAACGGGAATTTTAAATAGCCCAAATCTAATAAAAAAAAAAAATTCTAAAAGAATTTAGCTTTTCTAAGCCATTTCCAAGAGTCTGTCCACTTGTGATTGCTTTGGCTATTCTGTGAGTCTACAGCCAAATGTGCCCAGTGTTCCAGTGGTGAAATGACTACTATGGGAAACCAACTACTTTCTGACTTGATTTAAGGTGTCTTCACAAGATGATATTCCTACCTGGAACGGAAACTCTGGCCAAATGCTTATGGCTGGGGAAGTAACAGGCCGTAAGAGGAAACCTACTACCATTCTTGCTAAATGGACTTGGCATCAAATGACTTCTAAATATACATGCTGCTTTCAGTTTCAGTATGAAAAGCTTCTGTTTGCAGTGGGTAACGGTTAACACAAAGACTCACAACTTAAAGTATTAACAATAGCTGGGGGTGTTGGTGCACACCTGTAATCCCAGCACTCAGGGAGGCAGAGGCAGGTGGATCTCTGTGAGTTCAAGGCCAGCCTGGTCTACAAAACCAAGCCAGGTCAGCCAGGGTTAGACAGAGAAATCATGTCTCAAAAAACCAACCAACCAAACACAAAACAATAAGTGACTGTTAAGCGCACCTCTAAAAGGGAAATCTGTATCAGCTCCCCAAGGCTCATTTTACATGACAGAAGACAAGGGTAGAAAGAGCTGAAGGATGCAAAGGAGTGCTACAAAATGCTGACTTCTACAAATGGCAGGGACTTTACAACTATAAACCTCCTGTAACAGATTAGCAGCACAAGACTTCACAAGATGAGGCAGAAAGCTTCCATCTGAGGGAAGGAGCTTAGGAGTCCCCACTCCTCCCTCGGAACGACTGCAGTTAATTATAGCTGAGGAAAAAAGAAATTTTCTTTCGTGAGCGTCCATGCTCCAGGAAATAACCTCCCAATCCATGCTGGAATTAAACTCAGTGGGTCACAAAACAACAACAAAGAAACAAGACATGAAAGTGCGAGAGAAGCTTATTGTGAATGGGCTTAGGGGGAGTATGCAAGGATGAGAAAGGGAATAATAGCAGTGGTGGCAAAAATGACCCAAATCCACTACATACAAGTAAGAAACCATCAAAGAAAAATAAGTATCTTTAAAGTCTCAAAAGTACAGACTGTACCTGGGCTCTCACATGTCCCTTAAATTTTTAAAGAATTATCTGCTACCATCCACTTTTCAAGTTTATAAGGAAAGATTTCCATTGAAAATTCTAAAAGACATTGTAGTTGCTGGAACACTGCAAATATTTATGTGTTCAAATAAAGCCCTTATATAACCCTTTATGACATACTCAATAAAGTCTAAACAGTGCATTTTAATACCCACTCTCCACCATTTAAAAGCCTTGAGTGCAGCTGATTGCATAGCTTTTGTCAGGCTGCACCATGGAGCCTCTGCTCTGAGGCTTGCTCGAACTCAGAAAAGCCCAACCTTTTCTTTTCTTCTCTTTATTTCTTTACAGATACTGGCCAAACACAAGCATGCTCTCCATGGCATCTGGGAGTTTTCATTCTTCTGCTGAAGCCCTGTTCTTTGCCTCACTGGTGCTTGCTGACCTCCATCGCAAAAAGCATGGTTCCCTCTTACCATTTCCTTTCTCCTGGCAGCTGCAGAGAGTTACAGCTGGCATGTTCTGTTGTTTTACTCTCCAAAGCTAATAAAAATGCCCTTGATCTTACAAATAAACAAATAAATAAAAACACTTTAGTTTTTCTAACAGTAGGAAACTTTTCACTGTTCTTTCTCTTTCGTTTCTATTTCCCCTTCTGGCCAAGGGTAGCTTGGAAATAGCCTCAGAACGCATTAGACTAACTTTAACAGCACATACAGACACATATTGGTGGTGACAATCACACCTTCCCCCCCACCCCCAAAAGGTTTTATATTTTTACTGCTCAACCAACCAACCAACCAACCAAGTATATCACAAAAAAACCAAAAATCAGACTACCAATTAAACAAACCCTACTGTCTAGACAATGATGACATTTTCAGCTTGATAGAGTTGCCTCTGATACTTCATAAGGATGTGTGTCACCTCATATGCAACTCATTACGGACTTAGCTTGCTTCTTTTTCATTGTCACCCACTCAGAGCTATACTGGATTTTATTACCAGTTTTCTCTCTGGATCTGTAAGACCATTCATTTTGCCTTTGTTTCCACAAGTAATCACTTGAGTTTCCAGCAGACTTTTGGGAAGACACATGATTAAGCAGAGCCAAATAAGCCACAGCCTCACTTTTAAGAGATGTCATGGTCCAATTTAACACTTCTAACCTTTTCACTGTAACCTGAATTGAAAGTGACATCATCTGCATATATGTCAACAGAAAATAAAAACATTAAATGAAACTTACTCTCCTAATGTGACCTTATGGATGTTTTTAGCTAACTGGTAACTTAAAAACATACGCACACTTAAAAATACTTGTAAGTTGAATAATCATGAACTACAAGCTGCACATAGAGCATCAAGCTACTAAGGATTCTGGGAGAGTATAAGGGAGCTTCAGAAACCTTCACAAAAGTGTAGGCATTATAACTGTTCAGCCAGGAAAAGTGCTCCCCCATTTGGCCAACGTGGAATAGCTATGGAGTCCTTTTACATCATCCATCCAGGTTTGTGATTAGCATAATGTCTGGAAGAGACTATTTTCAACAGTCCTGGCTGGGAGTGCACCTTGAGATCGGGCAATCAGCTGCAACCTTTCAGAGCTGTCTCAAGGCTTTTGGGGAGTGCTCCAGATGCCTAGTGCTGGTGAAGGCTAGTGTGACTGTTTTACCAGGGAGGAAATGCAGAGTGTTAACAGCTGTGAGTCAGGAGTCCGACTGCTCCATCCCCAACATCTTTGTGTACTTAGAGAATAATGTACATCAAAAATAAAGTCGTGGTATAAATATTAAGAGCTTATCTTTAACGCTAACAATTTTCACAGATTCCAACAATGCTTTAACAGTGGACAGGGGGAGAAAAAAAAAAACAAAACAAAACAGTGCCCAGGGAATGCCATCCCTAACCTTACAAATCTGATATCTGATCCTATACAGTGTATGTCAAATAGAATCCCTGGTCTCTCCATTGCTTGTGTTAAGACGACCAAAAATGTCTTTGAACGTTAACAAATGTTCCCAAATAGCAAAACTATCCTTAGTTGAAAACCAAGGCATTTGACAAAAAGGATTCCTGCAATATTAACCACTGAGCAGAGAGCTCAGATAAAGAAATTCCATGAGACCTAGGAATGTAAGACTTTACCTAGGGTGAAGAACAGTGTCCTTTTCTTCTCTATGAATACTGAAACTGCAAAATAAATATGGGCAGTGTCCTAGTCCTCTCATAATAGGTGTCATCATCACCTACTATGTCAGGGAACATCTTCAAGTCATAGGTTTTATTTAAAACAAAACAAGCTTCCTCTCTTTTTAATTGTCAAAGTGAAGCACAATATTTGTTACTGTGTTTATGTTCATACATGCACACAAACCATGGTGCAGATGTGGAGGTCAGAGGACATAGTGTGAGAGGTGTTTCTCTCCTTCTACTATGTGGAACTGGAGATCAAACTGAAGTCATCAAGCTTGGCAGCAAGCTTGCTGAGCCACTGAGCCATCATGCAAGGCTCCAAAGCATAACTTTCTTTTGCCAAACACTGGGACTGCTGCAGAACTTAAAAGATCAAGTTATTGACTTCTGAGAAATTATGAGTTACACTGCAAATGATCAATCATTCACTAAAAAGATAATTTACAGCTTTTTGGATCATACTAATCCTTCTAAGTTAATGATTTAATGATAAATTCTTCTAATTTAGGAAAATTACAAATATAATTCTACATAAATGCCAAAAGCAACCCTTCCTAGTTGGGCATGAAAAAG